AGGCTCCTGTGGATGTGGGCAGCCTTCAGAGGCAGCTCATACCTGCAACCACAGCTCACAGACAGAGCAGATCGATCAGTAAATCACAGATAGTTACAGTGCCCACATTACTGCAGACGCTGCACCGATCCATCCACCAGTCTCCTCCTTTCTCCCTCGCTCACAAACCCCAAGATACTTAAACTCCCTCGTTGGGGCAGCATCTTACTCCCAGTCCAGAGCGCTGCCGCCGTCCTGTTGTTCACATCCTCAGTGGTAACCGCTGATTCTCCAAGCAAACATCTCAAACAAAACAAAGTAGAACATCCAAGCATCTTGTCTCACTTGGCAAGCATCACAAGCAGTATTCGTCACAACTTCCTGACTCTTAAGAAGATAATACCCTGATGGTTTAATAGTTAGTTGCAGAAGCAAACCACTAATCCTCAGATACGTGCGTGCACAGGTGTGGTTTTTGGATCACAAAGCAGTGGTTTCATCGCGCCTCTCAGCTCTGATTTAACTCCTCACACGAACATTTCAGCTTCTACAAAAAGGTCGAAGCCGGCCGTCACCTCAGCACCTGCGCGCGGCGTGTTAACGTCAGGCGTGCAGTGTAAATGTGCAGTCAGTGCTGCGTGTGCGCACACACGGACACACACCTGCTATTATGTGTATGATAATGTTTGTGTCTGCTGCCCTGCAGCCTGGCATTAATACAGAGGGCTCAGGGTTACTGCGACCTGTGTTCCCATAATGCCAGGCTTTACCACGCGTGTGTGTCTGTGTGTGACGTCTGTCATTCTGCACGGCGACAAACACAACGGAGTTAAAACCGTCTGTTGTTAACACGCGGCAGACACTCGCTTCCTCCGTCTCTTGTTGCTGCTCGATGACTAAGTCGCCTGCTGTGTTTTCCTCTTTGTTCCAGTCGCACAACTTTTCATCAGCTCGAGGTAAGAGCCTGAGAAAATGAGAATATTTCAGCTTTTATGGGTACGTGATGGGAAGTGTGTGAGGTTTCAGTTAAGCTGTCAGCTGGGAGTGGAGGGAACATTTGTCCTTTTGTTTTGGGTTTACGTGGAGATTTCTGTGATGGGCTGAAAAGACCTGAAGTGGAAATGGAGAGTAGTTGGACTATACTATTTGACTTTTGCTTACGCACAATTAATAAAGCAGTGTGTTGATCAAGTATTTATTTTACTTGAAATGCCAATTTTCAAGTTTTTAAGAGAAAAGACTGCACATGAGATTTTACAGGTAACTGTTTATTTAAACGAATAATTTCTATTAGAAATAAGTTAAAGTTTGCCTGACATGTCTTACTCCTACATCACTGTATTTCCAGGTAAAACTGCACATTTTATGTAACTTTGCTTTTCTGAAGGCTTCAGTTATTAGTCATGCAGTAGATTAAGAGATTACAGTAATGGTGGCGTTAAAGATGAAAGATTTCCAAGTGTAAGCTTTTTCTAATCTGTTAAGTCTGGTAATCTATAGTGAGGATTATCAGCATGTCGACAATAACAATCATCAGCTGGCGTTAAAACCTTTGAAGAAGTCACTCCGGATGCTTCTTGAGTTTGGACTTCTTTTCAGGTTCTTGGAGAAGTTTCACCGTTTATCCATCCAAGAGGTTTGTTCAGGTCTAAAAGCTGGTGAAGACTCGTTGTTGGAGAGTCACCTTGCAGATGGTTCAACCCTATAATCATGAGAATCGTTAGGGGTCACAGGGGCCAAGGTGGGAATCAAGGTGTGGGTCACTAAAGTGAATTTCTTATGAGTCGCTGATCGCCCTACAGTCATGTGAGGCATTGAGGCATTAGGAGCACATTGGCTAAGGTGTGAGTGGAGATTAAATTGGATGAGAAGGGATCTCAGGACAGCATTAAGTGGAATTTCTGGTGAAGCAGAGGTGGTGCGTTCGCTGTCCACCGCAGTCTTGGGATGGCCTGTCTGCCTGCAAAAAGCTGATGTCAGATGGAGGCGGTGCACAAATGGAGGCCTGTATGTGGACCGACTAGTGTGTGCGTCACTCTCGCTTGTACTGCTGTTGGTCCATTCATCAACCGCAGAGAAGAGCGAAAGGGTTGCAGCGGGCAGTTTTGAT